CATCAGGACCACCCGGACCACCAGGACCGCCTGGACCACCTGGACCACCGGGACCTAGTATTGGCAAGATTCACAAATACAGTGAACGTGATTATTATGGTTCGAGGAAAGGTATACCGTATTAACGATAGGTTTAGCTTGAAAACGGTTATTAGTAATCAAACTTAAGATATATTGCATATTATGTAAGTAATTTTTATATTTTGCTAATTATGTTTATTGACAGAATTAACAGCAAAAGACGATTGAAATTTTTGCTCGAAAAATGAATTGTTACGAAATGTGAAATTAGTTTAAAATATCGTAATAACAATTTCATGCAATTTATCATATATACAATAGAATGTCATATATATATATATATATATATATATATATATAATAAATATTAGATTATTGATTTAGTACATTTTCCGATTATTCAAGTACATAAGACATCGCGAAAGGGCAAAATATACATAAATCAATGTTATCTGTGTCCGCTATATTAGGAAATTATAAAGGATCGTATGAAAATTCTATAAATAGAGTAGGAATCAATTCGGGATATTGACTATCGTAAAGATTTGGTCATAACGTTTTATTTACGTACATGTACTCTACCGGCGATTCTTAGGACTGCGAAGCAACTTAGATGAATTGAAAGCTCTCCGCGAACTCAAGGAATTGAAGGAACTTAAGGAGCATCTGGGTATGAAATTTGCAGCTTACATCTTGTAATTCTTTACCTACAACCAATGTTACATCGCTCTTTACGCGTGTAAATGCATAACTGCGTGTATGCACGAGCTAATAGGATATTTTCCATTCGAATTTCATTAAAATTCTTTTAAATTTTGAATTAGAAAAATTGCTTTTTATTACCACTTCTTATCCTCTTTGTATTATCGAACATTCAATAAAAAAAATCATATGATCGTCCAAGGTTCTTTTTATTTTTAATGCAAATTTGACTATATTTTATTGATTTTATATAATTATATTAACATATGAACAACTAATTAATGACATACATATGTTAAATTTACAAAACAAGTCAATTTTGTTACGTTTAACAGTTGCCAATTGCAATTAATAGTAATTAAATAGCTATATTGGTATTTGATCATCTAATGTCTTTCGCAAATAACTAATTTCAATTTTAATCGAGATTCAAAAATTGACAGTTAAGCATTTTTTACTACAAAAACTATGTGAATAAAAATAAATTTAAAAAATTAAAACTTCAACTTTTAAATTTTAATAAAATAATTCATGCGTATAAAACGGTTTATTTCTATTTAACTGAATATTGTATGAATTATATAATGCCCATTGTGCTCTTCCTATACTTTACATTTACATCGGAATAATGATATATTTGGTCTACGTGGAATTTTAGGTGTTAATGCTGCAGTGACAAGGGGGCCTTTGGAAACTACAACGAAAATTGTTCCAGGAGCAGTTACATTCCAGAATACTGAAGCAATGACAAAGGTATAAAACCTCTTTGCTTAAACCGCTTATAAAAATTTCACCTACTTATGATGAAATATATTTTTTCACAGATGTCCGCTGTAAGTCCAGTAGGAACTCTAGCTTATATTATAGATGAGCAGGCATTATTAGTTAGAGTTAATAATGGTTGGCAATATATTCCGGTAAGTTGCGTATACAAATATACTGTTCATTTAAATAAATTGAATGATATTACTTTTATATAAATTGACTAATGAATCATATTCTTCTGTGTTACGTTATTGATTATTCATAATTGAAATACATATGAACAGAGGCATATATTTGTTTATAATAATTAATTAGCTTTGCAATTTTTAGTTTGAATATTCTACTGTATTTATTTCTAAATAGAATTAAAATATATCTAATAATTATTCAATTGAAGCTTGTAAAGTTCGGAATAAATTTGATCGATATATTAATTAACTTTTGTTGGATTTACATAAAGTTTCTAAATTAATAAACTAAAATGTTAAAATAAATGAAGAAATAAATTAAATTTATTCGTGGAAATATAATCTATTGATGTGATTTAAATTCTAACTTTATTTTTAAATATAGAATTCGTTGAATATGTGCGGCATGTGGAATATAAGAAAAGCACCATTATACATTGAATTCGGTTATATTGTTTTTTTTTTTTAAATTAAATTAAAGGCAAACATGGCATTCACATAAAATAACAAATAAATTCCTACCGCATTAGTTAAAAATTATAAAGAATTCATACAATAATTAATTGTATAACATTATAATGTGTTATAAATGATTTATAACGAATTAAAAATGATAATTACAAACTCTATTTTACAAACTCTTTACGATAAATCGAAGATTTTTTTATGTTTTTGTAATTGTAATTATTCCTATAATTCGGATCATCGGAATATTATCTAGTTAATCATAACTTTTAAGTAACTTTCCGAGATACAGGAATTCTTGATGAAGTACAATAAAATATTGATTTATTGACTTTTAATGATTATTTTTGATAAACGTCTATACTATTTAATTATCGATCAACGAAATTTTTTTTTCGAAATTTACTCCAAATATTACTTACTTCAATTTTTATTTGAAATTCATCGATAAATATAAAGTTTCCAGTTTGCTTATATAAATACTAAATAATATTATAATAAATTCAGTGGATTTAATTAAATACCAATTACATAGTGCTTTTAATAATCATTGAATATTATAATGTAGCTCGGGACTTTGTTGCCTATAACAACTCCAGCGCCACCCACCACTGCATCACCACCACTTAATCCTCCATTTGAAGCTTCTAATTTGATCAACCAGATTCCCATGAAGGCAGAGAGCACGAGCGTTAGTAAAAATTATTTATTTATTTATATTCAAATTATTTTACATAACATTTTCCCCGAGTATTGAATTGTATTAATGTACTTCGAATTTTTTATGTTTTCACGCTGACCAGTGGTATCCAAAAATGGTATAGTATTCACGAATGTAATTTATTGTTATGTAAATATTTTTAATTTGCTCCGAAGAAAAAGATATTTTTAAAATAATGAAAAATTTATCGAAAGTCGAAAAAAATTGTAAATTATTATCGTTAATATATGTTTCCTATGATTTTTCATATCCCGAGATTCTTACACTTTATATATAATTGTCACTTTTGCATACATTTCACATTTATATTTCATATTTTTCAGGCTATTATTTCTATTAAATTCAATAGATATTGTTGGCGAAAATTTTAACTTTCTCTAGAGAACACAAAGTAAAATAACCATTTAAAAGATCTTACAATATGCAAATATTCTATCGGAAAATGAAAAAAAAAAAAAAAAATTAAATAGAGATAGAATTTAGCTGACAGTGATCATGAAAAAATATAAAGTATCTTTTTAAAGTAACCGCTTTATTCTTTTTTTTTATCCAAACTATTACTAACCAATTTCTTATCCAAATTATAACGTCCTATTAATTGTTTATATTAAAATTTTACCATTTACTTCGACTCGAAGATAACATAGTAACGAAGTAAGAGGACATTATTCATGTTGAATTGTGCAAAAGTCGTACGAGCAAACCGATTATTCTAGCATTTTCATAATCAAAAATACATCCTAGATAGAGAAGAATTTCACAAAAAGCTATTATTTCTATTTCAACCAATAGTCTTCCAATTGGACATAAGTTCACAACTCCAAGTAACACAATACATGAAACGAAATTGTTCTTGTTGTTACGAATTAATATATGCATCAACATTATTGGCACGAGAATTTAAGCTTGATAAATTTGCAAAAAAAAAAAAAATAAAAAAAAATAGTCTTTTCATATCGGGAAAATTCAAGTGTTTTGCTAAGAAGGGCAGGATGAAACATTATTTCTCGACATCCGATATTCCTTACGCCCTACGAGATTATTCTGATTCCACGGCACTGTAATTCAATAAATATTATATTTTCCCATCTCGCGACAATAACAAGGAGGCGAATAAAACGCGTGGCGTAGGTCGATAGAAAGCAGCATCGCTTACGTAGCTTTCAAAAGCTAAGCTTATTGAAAATTGATTTTGCTATGAATGCCTGAGTCCAAAGGCGCCGACGCTCACATTTACATCATTTCAGCTCCGGATGGCGGCATTGAACGAGCCCTTCACCGGCGATATGCACGGGGTGCGGGGGGCAGACTACGCCTGCTATCGGCAAGCGAAGCGAGCCGGGCTAAGAAGCACATTCCGCGCCTTCCTCAGCTCGCGCGTTCAGAATGTCGATAGTATCGTGAGGCTCGGGGATAGGGATTTGCCTATCGTCAATATTAAGGTGAGTAATGGCTTTTTAATTATGTTCCTTCTTTCTCTTTTGTGTTGTGAACGCGGATGCGGTGATGGTAGAAGAGTGCTTGTACGCGCCGTTATCGTTATTAAGAGGAGTTTAATTTTGTACCGCAATGTGGTGAAAATTATAATTTATCCAATGCAAATGAGTAAGTGGTTGTGTTGGATTATGGAAAACTAAAGTCCTCTGTCGTGCAAATGAGATATAAATAGTGCGCGTTGGCGGTTTATTTTTTTTTGTTCACTTATCACTTTATTATTTTTGTATAATATTTGCTTCAGACAAGTATTACGTCACTTTTCTATAAAAATATTTTTCTTTATAAACGTGTATAAAAGTATCATACAACTTTTGGCAGTATTGATAGTTTTTTATTAATAATTGAGTCAGCTTTGTATTTCCAAGTATTATTCGTTTCTAAGAAATTTAAATTTATCGCAAAACTACTTAAATATTGACGACAAACTTCAAACAAAATAAATATACAAAACAATAAATATACAAGAGCATAAAAAATTACGCATATAAAATGCACATACTTGTATTACATGTACATATATATATATATGTGTGTGTGTGTGTGTGTGTGTGTATGGGTGTGAATTTTTTACTACAACGAATATTGTACCTAGAGTACCTAAAGTTATGTAAAAAAAAGTACGTTCTATATCTCCACTTTATGCTATTTGATTCTAATTGCATTTTATTTTTAGGGTGATGTACTTTTTAACTCATGGAAGGAGATGTTCAATGGAAACGGGGCTTATTTTTCTCAAAATCCTCGAATCTACAGTTTCAATGGAAAAAATATACTCACAGACTATACATGGTAAATATTTATATAATTTTTTAATTGTCATTAGCTTAATTTTATGAGCTTAAAATATATTAATCAATCATTCGGTGTTTCAAGTTTCATAAATTTAAGAAATTTACAAATCTGTATTGTTATATTTCCAGTGATCTTTTAATACCTCATAATTAATATTGTAATTACATATAGATGTTTATATTATTGCTGTGCATTTATACGTAGAATTTCATATCAACTAAGCATGATTAATTATTATAGAACCGTTAAAGCGCTGTAGATTGATCGAGTAAAGATCTCAATGATTCTCCTTTTGAAATTTGCCGTTTATAATGTCTGTTCAGTACGCGGGGCTTGCAAATCATATTGCGATGGCGTTCTTCGTTTTCTAAGAAACTCGACAGTTCTAAATTGAATATGAAAATTATGCCGTGAATGTACTCCTTGAATAATAACTTCATTTTATCGAAACGCATTTTCGTGCAGTTCATATTTAAAATCATAATAAAGTATAAATCTATTTTTGTACATCAAAGTATATATCAATCAAAAAACGATTATTTATAGTGACACAGCCGTTCATTACCATTGTTTAATTACCATTGTTGCTAGAACGTCATACAGATGAAGGAGTCGGCACGCATAGTATATATTTGTGCAAAGAAAACTGATCACAATATCATTGAATTAATTTAGCACTGGACATAAATTCGAATTTTACAAAGGGAAACATAGGCTATTAAGTTCTGATTTATATTTTTATCAAAAAAATAAAACATGATATATCGCGCTAAGTTAATTGAGAAAATTAATAAGTGAGTTTATCGAAGCTCATTGTGTTAATAATGCCGACTATCTTAAATTAGCAACCAAAATTATTTCTCTGATTCCGTGTGCAGGTCAAACAAAGTCGTGTGGCACGGCTCACACGCATTGGGCGAGAGGGCGATGGACACATACTGCGACGCCTGGCACTCGGACAGCTCCGATCGCTACGGCCTCGGCTCGCCCTTACTAGGGGGTCGTCTCCTGGAGCAGACGCGCTACTCCTGCGACAATAAATTTGCTCTACTGTGCATTGAGGTGACGAGCGAGCTCACAAAGAGACGCCGACGACGCTCCCTCAGTGTCAAAGATGGGGACGATGCTCGTGGCATCGAGAGCGTGGATAACGTGGAGAACGAGGACCGAATCAACGTGGAGGGGATCGACGAGCAGGACGAGGAGAGCGCGAACTACAACAACATCGAGGACGACGTGGACGACGTGGACGACGACGACGAGGACGACGAGGATAACGAGAACCAGCGTATATTTACGGAGGCCGAGTACGCTGAGCAGCTGCGACAACTCTTTCAAGAATGAAACGACGATTAATGTAGTAATTAATGCGCACAAGGACGAGGGATGAGTTGTATTTTACATGTACATAATCAAGGAGATGATGCATTTCCTCTCCTCTTTCCTTTCCTTAATCTTAGTTCTGCTCTGCTCTTTTAATTTTGATGACGTTTCACTAACCCGATTTTCCTGATTTCGAGATAATACGAGGCTTCTGATTGGGATATTCTCTTTATTAATGTAAGAAATGTAAAAGTTTGTTTTTGTTTCTATGATATGTGCAATGCTTGAAATTTTTTACCACTACAATGATATTAAATAGTAAAAAGTTGGCACACTTATCCCATGACTGCTGTGTTAAAAAAATAAGCTATTTTTCCAATATATAAAATAACATTTAAGAATTCAACTGCATTTTTAATTAAAATTAACATTTTTATTAAAAATTAGATGATTATTATAAATATGATATATACTGTATATATCATAAACATAAACATTCTATAATATAACTATGTATATTATGATAAAATTTAATATTCATATATTTTATTATGAAAATGATTTGTCCTTTTGTGCATTTAGATTTTTTTCCAAAATGATTTTCAACAAACGAACCGTATTGATTAGATAAATAATGCATTGCATAATTGTACGAATAACATTTTATAAATACCAAGAACCTGATTGAATCAATCGATGATACGTTAAAGCAACTACTTTATTGATAACAAGTAAATGCAAAGTTGAACGCCATTATATTTTAATTATATTTTAATATCGCCAGCGATATTAAAGTAATTATGTCATTTTTATTCTGTTTTTTCGTTTGCAATTATTAAGATTATTAAAATATATAATTATTAGTATATATTTTAGCATAAGAGTTCAGTAGCCGTATACGTGCTTTAGCCATTTTAATTTCTAGTTAAATTTTTCAATCAAATCATCTCATCGAGGATTTATTTCTCATTCTATATTTCGTATCTCCATGACAATTCTTAGAAATTTATTCAATACTCATTGCGACGTAACGTAGACGAAAATACTAATTACTATGTACTTTGTTGAGTTCTATGTTCAATCAACTATTATTTAAAAAATATACAAACATACATTCTGTTTGAAAATGGAATTTATATATGATTATTGCAATGAAAATCATTGCAATATACTTATAATCAGATTTTCATATTTTTTACTTTTTATATTCCGATAGAATATATCAGAAAAATACGAATACTTTAATTAATAAAAATATTAATTACAAAATAATAATCAATTGTAATCAAGCAATATTTGGAAATTACTTTATTACTACATTCAATCGTTAGACAAGTTGATTTCTATTTGTAAAAATGAATAATTTTTTATTTTGTATTATAAAAAAAGTAATATAATGATAATAATAAATTACTTATAAATTACTTACATCAATTAATTTATGCATTCGTATCCTATATAAATCATATATAAGTTTTCAATGCTATTTTAATTAACTTACAATTCAAAAACAAATGATGCAGAAAATTCTCAGTATAAGATATTCTCATTCGGAATCACGCGATGCTTGTTTCATTATGGGTTTCCCTCGTCGCGATATAAGTGTAGTGGTAAACTGCATTAATACATTAAAAAAGTAAGAAAAATAAAACAAATATCTTGCTGAATGAATGACATGAACACATATCTTGAGCAATTTATATCGTACTGTTTAGAAAATAGATGCCTCCTGTAATTCTAAGTAATTAAAAATGCCCCAGGTGAACAAAAAAAAAGTATATATATATATATATAACCGCACAATGTATTTTCATTTACAGTTATTGATATTTTAATACTTTGTTTTATTATACACAAAAGAAATTCAATTGCTTATTGATAAAAACGTAATTAACAGTTTTTCTTAATTTACTAAAACATTCAGAATATTTGTATAGATGTAATAACGCATAATAAGTATCATTATATCTTTAGTATATGAAATTATAAATAACTAATTTTTAACTTGGGCGCAAAAAATAAATCATACCTACCTGTATTGGCGTATATGAGTGTGTTTTAGATGTTAAAATACAAATCAATTGTTGATAATGATTTTTCTCATTAAACACTTATATTCTTAAAGAACTAGAGGCTAGGTATAATCAATATTTTACAGCATTCGTATTTTAAATAAAATTTTCCAATCTAGGCGATGTCACCAAAAATATAACAACCATCTCTTTCTAACAATATTAATTTTTATATAAATATAATTTTAGATTTATTTAAAACATTTTCTTTTTCACCCGTGCAATTTAGTATTATAAAACAGCAAATACTTTACATTATAAGATATTTTAAGCACTTATAATTTAGGCAATAATTTTTGTAATTTAAACTGAAATTTGCACGAATGTAAGGTGAACCAGAATAACATCCATGTCACTTGGTTGATTAAGCTACCGTGAAGTGATTAAAAGATAATGTAATGTTTTATATACATTTATAACTACCAAGATTAAGTAATATTGGTGATTCATTAAGTCAAGCGTTGCATTTAGCTTTACATCGAATATAAATCGAATCTAAGTCAATGTTTATAAATTAATAATGTAATATACTAACAAATATCAATAATACTAGTTTTCTTTTTCTATATAAAATGAATTTAAGTAAAAAATATTTCTACATGACTGGAAGTTTTTACGGTTTTAATTTAAAAAAAAAATCAAAAATGATGGAAAATTATGAAATAATTAAAAATCTAAACACTGTTTACTATTTTGGCTAAAATTCAAATAAATTAATAATACTATAGGTTTGACTAATTTTTAAAAAATTGAAAAATTAATTGTAATTATATGTGATTATGTATTAATTTGCTTAATTACTAATTTAATTGTATTAAAAACTAATATATTAATGTTTATTCGTTCTCATCGAAAATGTAAGAGAAAGGAAAATAAACTTAGTTCATAATTAATTAAAAAAATATTGTAAGTTTTATTATGTTAAAAATAATAAACATAATTTTTTCAAAGTCAGTGTTTTTTATATTTATTTAATTACAAAAGTTATAAAGTCTATTAATTTACAAAGTATTAGTGTTTAATACTTCTAATGCTTCTGTATAATTTAAGTTGTGTAAAATAGATTTTAAGTTTTCAATGGATGCATCAGGATCTTCTTCAGTCCATATAATTAACATTTCTTGGCATTGTTCATATGGTGTTTGTTTCTTAGCAAAGAAAAATATCTATAAATAAAATGCAATATTGAAAACAGTACATTGTAAAATTAATATTATTAAAGTGAAATTACCTCATCATCTGTGTATCCTAATTTAACAGCTAATTTTTCCCAATTTTTCTTCAAAACTTCTGCTAATTTTTCCACTAATTCTCGACTTATTTTAGGTTTACTTTCTATAGTTTCGGAATCTTGTTTCAAAGTTTCTTCACTAAAATCTTGATCAATTTGTTCAGGTGGCGGTGTTTCTCCTGCTTCTTGCTTCATATCCATTTGAGTTTGCTGTGATAATATATTTATATGACAACTTTATATATATAAGAAAATTTTTTTTATCAACAATACATACTGGTCTATCTTTAGCTATTTTTTTAATCATTATTTCAAGATATTCAGGTAGCTTATTAATGGGGTAATTTCCATGTACAAAAAAGTGTGGACTCCTTTTAGCTAATAGTCTTAGTGCTCTCCAACCAAAATTACCATCGTTAACTTTTCTGTTAACAAACGAATGTATTATTATTAAGCACATAAGTATCCAATTCAAGATTTACTCTATAATTAATTTATAATAGTATATTTTCTAAAGTATTTATGAATACCAAGTTTACAATTCAACACTATATTTATTCAATACTGTTGATGCATGCTTTTTATTTGATACTTTTTAAACTAGTGTTTTATATTACAAACCAAACATATACCTACTTGTACTCTTCTTCAATTCCTGCCACTGGATCTAACTGTTCGATTGCTTCCTCAAAATAAATTTCTAAAGATGGTAAAAAGTCTCGATCTTTGGATTTACAAGCTTCAAGATTATTTGGGCACAAGTTCCATAATTTCGTTAATTCTGGGCTAAAAAATTAATGAGAAATATAATACAATATAACTAATAGGTACTTTGTTCATTTAACAATCTGAATTATAGCAAATAATTTACTTACTTCCCCATGTAATATTTTCCGACTACTTGTGCATCACGTATCATATCACCGATGCGTCGTTTTAATCTTTTAGGTTTTCTTGTTTCATTTGTTTCTGAAATTGGCTCTACAGCTGGTTTTTTAAAAGCTGGACAGCCTTCATTTTTCCAAGCATTCCAAAATTCTTCACGTTTTAAAATATGTTTCACAGATTCTGCAAAAACAGATCCATCTGGTGGAGTTTCAGTGAGTAGAGTATAAACTTGTTCCGTAGTTGCAGTAACCCATTCGACTTGGTCTGTTTTCAATTCATGTGTTTCTCTTTTTCATAAATAGAAGCGAATGTTAACAATAATATAATAAATGATAATTCTAAATAGAAAAAATGATAAAAAAATTCGACTTTGGCTTACGATTTAAATTTTACCGTACTGTTTAAATACTGAAATAATATTAAAAACTGTAACAAAACGTATCGTCTAAAATTTGAGTCAGACAATTGTAGTTCTAATAATTTTTCATTTGTCAAATATTTTGCAAAGTAATGCGATTCTTTACAAAGGCCTTCCATTGATAATTCAAGTTTCGAATGATCTATTATACAATCTTTTTGATCTTCTAGTTTAAATGAAGCAAATGCTGATAATACATTTGTGGCATGCTGTAATAAATTAATTAATATTATTATAATAATTGCAGATACAAAACTTTAGTTTATAAAAACAATTAATATATGAAAAATATTCAGACGATACTAACAGTAGAAAAAATTTTCCAATGCATTTTATTATAGCACTGATTTGGATTTCGGAAGAAATCTTGTAGGGCCCAAAATTTCCTATACAAATTATAGTCTATCGATATTTTAATATCAACTTTTTCTTCATCAGTTTCCATTTGTTGTGCTACTTCTTCTTCTGACTTTTCCGTTCCAAATTCGGTGACATTCTCTAAATTAAACTCACTAACAATATTAAGTCCAGATCTTTCTGAAAATGGAAAAAACTTTGCCAAAAATAGCAAAATTCTTCCACAAAATACTGTTTGTTGAGATCTAGAAAGTCTCCTAAGAAGATCATTACACATTCTTAGTAAATTATTTTTACAAGCACCAAAAAATAAATCTTCTTTCCAAATAGCAACATTATTTTCCACATATGTAAATAGTTCTTCGCAATGATCTAAAGTCATTGCATCAAACATGTCACTTAGTAGCATAACAGGTATACTCGTTGTTGCTAAATCTTTTCTACAGAGCTCTATACAAAATTTAATATATGTTTCCAAAGCTTGAGTATTATTATTGGCATTATTCGATAATATAGTGACTAAAGTATCTCTTAAAGCTTGGTCGATCGCTGGTTTTCTGTCCTTATCATTAGCACACTGTTCTGTACATTGTTTTTGAAAAGTAGCTATATCCGATGTCTTTAAACACTGCTGTACGTATTTCTGTTATGAAAATAATATTACACATTTTTAGACTTAGATTTAATAATTTAAATACATAAAATAATTATGTTCTACATATATTTATTTGGATTTTCATAACCTAGGAATCTTAACATAAGCGTTATTACTTACACTATAGTCTTTCCGTAACGTTTCAAAAGACGACATTGTAAACATATATTGTTATCTATACATCGAACAATAAATAAAGCAATATTTACTGTAAAGTTACTTTATAAAGCAATTGTTAATATCCGCAAAATGTAAATTTATTTTTTAATTCGCTGCATTAAATATGACAGTTGTACACTAAATACTTCCAATTATGACTGTACGCGAGGTTAAGTACACGTCAATTTACAATAATGTCTACCTGTGCCTAGAAAGGTATACGCAATAGTTTGACTGTATCTTGCTCGTAGCAATGACGAATGGTGTCACAATTCAAGTCAATATTTTAAACTAGAGTATTTACATGAAACAATAGCTAACAATTGTTTTTCCTATATCTGTTTTCCACAATGGAAATTTGAATTGATATTTGAATAATGAAACGTAAGGTTAAAAACAAAAGCACGCTTTACAATATTAATTTTTTTTTTTTACCGCGTATATTTACGTCGTACCTATAGATTTTAGTAATTTCATGGGAACTAAAGTGAAAGCTGTTTTTACTATAATAATTAAGTCTTTAATGAACAGGTGATAAAATTTTGTATTATAATTTGTATATAATTATTTCTATTGTGCATTTACATTTAAATTGTAATTTACATTTGTAGTTCTAATATGATTTAATAAAATACATTTTATATATTATAATAAATTTAATTTTCAAATCCAAGCAGCATATTCATATTAACTTTCCTCGTGTATTTTAAATATTGTCAAAATAAGAAATTCAAATCACTACTAGAATTTAGTGAAATTATTTATGCAAATGCATTTGTATTTATAGAATAATATCTTTTGTTCAGATGGTATTTTCAAATTGGTCGAATATATCTGGAAAAACTTTGATATCTGCGATAGGAATTATATGTACAACAAAAATTCTGTGGCTTATATACTGTAGTATATATATCGTTATAAGAACAATAAAGAGTATATTAAACCATTAGTAATTTTGCCAACAGAAATTAAACCAAAGGTAAAGGAACCAATAATAGAAGTATTCTTCTTTTCTGAGAACTGTGCACATTGTAGGACACATTTAGATTCTAATTTCCCTTGTTCCAATAGAAATTGCTCAATTCTCTCCCTTCGGTATGTGTATAAAGATTAATTATTTAGAAACAAATTTAAAACAAGATTTTTATTTCCAATAAAGACTTTACAACTACATTTTTAATTTATTTTAGAAGATTTGTGACTTATTTATTATCATCCAGAAGAACATTGGATATTTGCGTATACTTTTTAACCTGTTCTCTTATTGTTAAACAAATTCTTAAATTAAAAAGGAGAAATATATATATCAGAGTTATAACAAATAAAGAGGCTCAAGATGTGGAGCCTATGCAAATTTTGATTTTACGCAGAGCAGGTTTGTTGAAAATTCTTTAAAAGAAAACTACATTCTATAATTTTGGATATTTAAAGATTGTTTTAATATTTATTTAACTATTTTTTTTATTATAAAATTAAAATTGAAAAAAACTTATATTCAGTTTTAAATATCCTTTTTATACAAAATATACAAAATTTAAAAAGTATCTATTATATTTTTATTCTACATATTAATTTCAATAAAAATTAGTCAAACATATTCAAGTGTACACACATTATGCAATATTAATTACAATTATAATTTTCAAGCTTACACTATCAAATTTAACTTAAAAAAAATTAACTATAACTGTGAAGTATACTTTTATTACCAAATTGAATTGGCTATTATATATTTGGCATAATAAATTGGCTATTATATATTTTTTTAGGTATTCAAATAAGAAGTAGAAAATCTACATATCTAATGCATCACAAATTTGCTGTAATTGATAATGAAATATTAATTACTGGAAGTGCCAATTGGACATTACAAGCTTTCTTTGGTAACTGTGAAAATCTTATAATTACAAATCAATGTGAACTTGTTCAGGCTTATAGCTTAGAATTTGAAAAGCTTTGGTTTAGATTTCGAATGAATAAGAAAGCAGTACTATAATTAATTATGTAATTATTGTTAATTATATTATATATATATATATAATTATTTTTAGTTAATATAATATCTAATTCAGTTATTGTTTGACAATCTAAAAGAACATTGCCATTTGACTAAACTTTTCACATAAATAATTATATAGATATATAATAAGTGTACATAATAAATAGATATACTCTTTTGTATATTTTTATTGTTATTATAAACAATTATTACTTATATAAATATAAATCTACTATTTAAAACCTGCATAAAAAAATAACTATATGCTATATTTTTATAACACAACAAAAAAGATTAAATATATCTATATATGAGATATATCTATATATAATGGCTTTAATTTTTAACATTAAAATTATAATTATAAAACATGGATTTTTTTTTATTATTTAGGAAAAATAACTTTAAATATTTAATTGTAATTTGATGCATATTGCTGAAATAAATTTTTTTTCGTTATATTTAATTTTCAACATAATTATGATATATAATTATTTGAAATGCTAATTAAACAATTTGATAGATATAAAAATATATTTTATCATATACGTCATTTGCAAAAGACTATTTTCTTATAATTTATTATTTTCATTGCCAACAAAATTTGTTCCCCTATATTTCTATTTTATTTAATAATTTGTGATATTGTAATATTGAGTTATTATTATTAAAATATTAAATAATATTTATTATCAGAATTGAAACTAAGTATAATGAAAATGTATTGTTTTATAAAATCAGTTTTTTATTCATAAATTATAACAAGTAATATAAAATTATATAGTGGACCAATACTAATGGAAAAGTTTCAAAAATAGTGTGTTATAATATCAATTCTAAAATAGATTCCTACTAATTTATTATTCTGAATAAAAATCTTAATTAAATTTTGGTATTTGAAGAGTCATATTAAAAAAAAAGTAATGCTTTATTTAAAACAAGAGTAAAATAATAATGACTTTTATTTTCATTTATATTTATTGCTAAATGTTCTGTATGTACTGGATCGTTTTTATCCATTGGTTTCATTAATTTATTACTCAGCGTTACTTTGATAAGTAATTTTATCATATGAAAGAATAAATTATTATCATTTTGAGTTAAAAATCTTTAAATTAAAATTTTTTTTCACATATATTATTAAGTAAGGAACAGTTTGGAAATAAACTTGAGAAATAATTAAATTTTCACATATAAATTATATAAGCATTAGTTATTAACAAACGAAATGATATTCATACTCCATGTTAATATTTAAATATAAAAAATTATAACTGATTTATTACATAAATATCAATTTTGCGAAGTGATTTATTATAAATATTTATTAAATTCTGTTGATTTGAATTTGTTTGCAAATAAAAATGCTTTTTGTTATACAATGCCATTTATCACTTTTAAGCTATGTATTTAAAATTATATATTTATTTATCTCACAATTGTGCTATTATTATACAAAGAATGAATTGATAATTATTAATAAAACGTTTCATCTAAGTTTAGAGATATTATAGAGAATTACATAAGTAGAATTACATAAATATTCTATTCGGAGAAGTTTATATCAGCAGAAAGCGATAAAGTCGAACAGCTTTAGTTAGTAGTAGCGCAGCACCTACAGGACAAAACCTCTATCCTCAACGCTCTCCGTCATCTCTGACGTCTTGATTGTGGAGAGTAAAGACGTCAATGCTATCTATGCTCTTAGGGACCCTAGGGATGCTATAGTACGAGAATAGTCGAAGGCAATACTAACAATTGATGGTATCTCCCAACTAAGTTAATAACTTATGATTTTAGTTTTGATCCAGTATGATGCATTAAGCAGGTGTTAGAAGGCAGTATGTATATGCAAACAATGTTATATGTTTATAAAACATTGAAAGAGATATATTATAACTGCTATAAGAATTATGTATTAGAATATTGAAAGAGATATATTATAACTAATGTAACTGTATGCATAATCAGTGAAAACTAATTTCATCTGAATTGATTATTGGCTTTTTTGAAAATCAGCAACCTCAGAAAATGTCGAACATACCGTAAATGTGAAGCATAATAATTGGACAACTACGGATTTCAAATTAATTATATAAAAAATGTATTTCTCAGTACAATAAGAAATGCCAGATTATACATGACTCTTAGAGGAATTTAAAATTTATTTCTGAAAAGATTAATTTTTTCTTCACAATTTGGGGTTTGCAATAAGAAACAAAACATACATTTTTTAATTATTCATTACTTAGTTGATTTATCGTTGAAAGCATACAATATTATTATCTATAAAATTCAAGAAATATTATTAGATCAAGATTTTAGCATATTAATTAATGTGAACTGAACTCAAAAGTAAAAAAAAAATTATAAGAATCAACTTTTTTTTAATTTTACATTCGTATGTTCCATTTGGAAAATTTCAATGTCGTTTGAATTACGAATGATAAATGAGGAAATGGCGAATACTAAAAACAAAACTAAAGCATGCAAGGGACGACGAGAGTGTAACTGACCAATTAATAGGTTCACCCACTAATGGCAAAGACGTACCTAAATAGCCTACAATGTCAACGTTTAATCTGCCAGGGAAAATCCCGTGCTTATATCTTTTCTCGATTCATCTATCCGTTGCTTGATTTTGCGCTCTTCAGGTTTGCTTGAACCTATGATCTCAATTATCTCGATTCACTGAGTAAGGTCTTAAGTGTGCTTTCGCATGTTCCACCCCGACTATTATACCGTGTTAGGTTGGTCGTACGAGATCCTTTGTTATATAGTTGTTTGAGTGCGATAAAGTAATTAAATATTTTTTTATATTAAAGATTTATTTACATTAACAATTTTCGATTTTCTTTTTTTTTACTCTATTCACTGGAACCATATTAGCGTGAATTTTCACGCGGGTAAATAAGATCATCGTAACAAAGTTTTGAAATATCAAAGAGAATATCAGAATTATTTCCAATTATTTTCCATAAACTATCGCGTACAATTAATATTGGCACTATATTGTATAACATTGTACTAGTATTTACAATTTTATTAACCTCATTCTTCGGTCTTCCGTTTATTGTATTACCTGTGCCTATCTAGGTATATGTAAGAAAGAGAGAGAGAGAGAAAAACTGAAACATATATATATAAATGAAGTAATGATGCTATAAAAAAATTTTATACATTGGTTTCCGCAAAAGAATGAATTTTTATCGAATCAAAACGGTATAACTGTATATTTAAACATATATTCATTATTTGTTCCCTTATAATATACTATTTAACAATGTACTACAAAGACAGAATTTTTGTTTAATAGGTATTATCTTTTGGTGAGTCGAGAATAAAAGATTAGCAAGTTCATATGACAACATGTGACATTATCCTCTTAATTCAGCTATTTACAAAAAAATCTTGATGTCTTTTATATTGGAAAAATTTAATCAGATGTAGCTATCAGCTTTAAAGGCAGTAAAATACATAGTATTTTATAGATAATCTTATCTTTTCTTTCATACATCATTTTTCTATTTATCGATATATATTATAGTTTTGAAAATTTGATATGTATCGTTACAGTTTCTATTTTATTAACTAATCGTTGAATTTTAATGTATATATTTAATTTTTAAATAGTTTTTCGTAAGTATTTCATAGAATATTAAAATATATTCATGTATGATTTCAGAAAATAATACATGAAATATATATTCAATGTATGAAATTCAATAATGATAAAAAATTGATAATGTCGATTATGAAAAGTATTTTATCAACAATGAATAAGTTGTGTAATAATTCATTTATTATTGCATTTATCATAAACGTACTTTAAAATTTTGTAAGCTAACAGCGAAGAATTACAATGAAATTATAAAATTAAATTTTTTTAATCACGTCATAAGATGAAAAATTCATAATCAATCGAATGAAATATAAAATGCAAGATAACGTAATGTTCGCAAATATGGTTATGCGCATTTTTCATCAAATCTCGGATCCAAAGTGCAAAGTCCGAGTTAAATTAAAATTTTTATCAGAATTTATCAATTAAATTACCTTCACAACTAATGTAATGTAGAAATGAACTGCATTATTAAACAAAGTTATTGTCAGTGATAAAATTAGTGATAAAGAATTTTAATGATGAGTTATTGTCAGCTTTGCCGAAATTCCCGATCAAACCTACGTGAAGTCGATGATGGATGAGCCAAATTACAAACAGATCCCAAGAAGGTACCATCTCTACCAGAATTATGAAATTCATTCGTATGCTTTAGGAATTACGTTATTTTTATTTTAAAGCTTGCTTTCAGTTCCAGACCTTATGTAATTATAATAAATAATAAATTATAAAATATAAACAATAAAAGTACAAAATACAGTGGCTAATATTAAACTTCTAATTGTATATAGTAAATTGTTACATAGATACAAGCATATGAAATTGGAATTATTTAATAGCGTATGAAATACTTTTGCCAAATTGTCCATTGCGTGTTTTTACTATAATAATTATTCAGATAGTTGAAATTGTCAACAAATGCTTCAGAAATTTTATGTAAATTACATTTATTGATAATTATTATATACTTTGTCAATGCATTAACAAGAACAAACGCATTAAAATACGTAAGAATGAGTTCTATTGAAAAGTCGATAACTTTTCGCGTGCCCTGCCTTATAAATAGCGAATTCTGGTTATTACGAAATTAGCATGTCGTCAAAAATAGCAAGATGTGGACAGCTGTAGATAAGCAAAATGTATGCTTGGTTGGATTTAAACAGAATATGAGAGACGGCAGAGAGATGTTAAGCTTAAGAAGAACTAAGAATAGGATGCTCTGTAGATGACTTGTTAGACACTTTTCATTAATGTGTTATCTGAACAAAGCGTTAGCTGCGGAAAGGAGGCAAAGCGAGCTATTTTATAATCATAAAGGAATTCTCGTTTAACTCACGACGTGTCAGTCTTTTGCTGCAATTAAAAAGAAGCCGTA